GAAAAATAGAGATGTTCGTGTATGAAGAGAGGAATAACTCGATTAAAGTGACTTGTACACAGGAGATTGGGGCAAAGTCAAGTCTTCACCAAAGAGTAGTGAAGCAAATCCATTTTGAGCCTTCACCAAAGAGTAGTGAAGCAAACCATCTTAAGCCTTCACCGAAGAGTAGTGAAGCATATCCTTTTTAAGCCTTCTCGGAAGAGTGTTGGCGCAAACCATCAGACTATCAGATGTGGGAGAAAAAACAAAATTTCTCGAGTACAAAGAAAAGGAAACGCGCACGAGGAGTTATTAACCGATTCAATGTCCCAGGAAGGGAGAGGTTCAAATGACAGTCAAGTCAAGGAAGACTCTCGCATTTAGTTGCGGAGAGACAAGCTCTCACAAGAGAAATGAATTCGAAAAGATTCTCTTAAATTCTAAATTTTTGAGTATAATGATTTTCAAATTTTCAAGCACACGTTAATGATTGATAATGTTTGATTTTCAGGTTCGACATTTGAAGCAAATCAAACTTAAGTCTTCACGAGTAGTGAAGCAAATCATCTAGAAGTCTTCACAAGAAAGTAATAAAGTAGAAGAAAATGTTCGAGTTCCATACTCCCTAGAGAAAGAGAGAGCGAACCCGTAAGAAGAAAATGTTCGAGTTCCATACTCCCTAGAGAAAGAGGGAGTGAACCCGTAAGAAGAAAATGTTCGAGTTCCATACTCCCTAAAGAAAGAGGGAGCGAACCCGTAAGAAGAAATGTTCGAGTTCCATACTCCCTAGAGAAAGAGGGAGCGAACCCGTAAGAAGAAAATGTTCGAGTTCCATACTCCCTAGAGAAAGAGGGAGCGAACCCGTAAGAAGAAATGTTCGAGTTCCATACTCCCTAGAGAAAGAGGAGCGAACCCGTAAGAAGAAGATGTTCGAGTTCCATACTCCCTAGAGAAAAAGGGAGCGAACCCGTAAGAAGAAGATGTTAGAGTTTTATACTCCATAGAGAAAGAGAGAGCGAACTCGTTTGTTGAAGATTGTTCGAGTTCTATACTCTCTGAAGGAATAGAGAGCGGACCCGTTTGTTGAAGATTGTTCGAGTTATATACTCTCTGAAGGAATAGAGAGCGGACCCGTTTTATGAAGATTGTTCGAGTCCTATACTCTCTGAAGAAATAGGGAGCGGACACGTTTGTTGAAGATCAAGTCCTATACTCTCTGAAGAAATAGGGAGCAGACATATTTGTTGAAGATTGTTCGAGTTCTATACACTGAAGGAATAGAGAGCGGACCCGTTTTATTGAAGATTGTTCGAGTCTTATACTCCATGAATGAATAGGGAGCAGACACGTTTGCTGAAGATTGTTCGAGTCTTATACTCCCTGAATGAATAGGGAGCAGACATGTTTGTTGAAGATTGTTCGAGTCTTATACTCCCTGAAGGAATAGGGAGCAGACTTATCATTTGAAGATTTTTCAAGTTTCATTTATCCCGAAGTAACAATGGAGTGCTTTAATCTTTTGAAGTTCTTAGAACCGGACAAGCTCGATCATCTTTTGATCTTTGCTCTATTCTCGTTACACGACAATGAGCAAAGAGGGGCAGTTGTAGATGCTCGTTTTTGTCCGGGGTTAAGTCAAATTAGACCCGAAGCAATGGTGGGCTTAAAGAAGAACCGAAACCAGTTGGAGGCCTAATCCAATGATCCAGCAGAGCAGGCCACATGATGATTCCCTGTAAAATAGAAATGGTTATGGGAAGTTAAGAAAAACTGTAAAAGGGGTTTTAATTGATAATTAACCACCAGAAAAGGGGGGGAAATTACAGAGAGAACATAATAGATTACACAGAGAAAAAAGAAAGAGGAATCGGAGACCATTGTGATAAAAAGCACAAAAAAATTGTTTTCCCATTCGTTTTTTACACAACGAAGCATTCAAAACAAAGGCTGTGTAACGGGGCTTCCCCATCTTCTTAGAAAGCAATAGAGATTCTTTTGAGGTATTTCTCGTACCTTCTTGATTCCTAGTGTGTTGACAGTGTGTATGTGTTTATTTCGAAACAAATGAGAAATGAAAAAATAGAGCACGTTATTTACCTTTAAATCAAATTTTTGTCATGGAGAATAGACATCTTCGCCAGTTTCATCGGTCCGAGAAGGTAACTGTAGATTTTTAGGAGTTTGGAGTTAGTACCAGGTCGTGCATGTGTTTTGGAGTCCTGATTTTAGACATAGATCAAAGGGGTCGATTTTTTAGAGTGAATAGCCAGGAGTGAATCGAAAAACTACAAAGGAATTTTTTTTAAAAATCCATTAAAAATATTATGGGGCAACCATTTGAATATAAAAGGTAATCACGATGCATAACAAAGATCTGTATTTTATCAAGCAAGGAAAAATCCATTCTTTAAGGCTTACATATTCATTTTTTATAACACATGTGTGTTTGGTTTTAAAGAAAAAAAAATGGACAATTAGATTTACCTGCTAATGGAGGCTCTCTGCGAGATTTGTCAAAGAATGAAGCAGAGGTGGCCATGGATTTTAGCCCCTAGTTTCCATTGAAAAGAAAAGCGTGAGGAAGAGAGTAGATGGGGAGAGAGTAGAGGGTGAGAGGAGTATGATATACGGCTATTAGGTTTAGTTTAATATTAGGTTTAGTTTATTATATATATATATACTAGTAATTTCGGGTTAATTATTTCTTGGTCACCGTATACAGAGATAAAACTAGGTTAGTCTTCTTATATTTATCGTTTTTGTACTTCAGTCACTTGTAAAGTCTGTTTTTTGAATTAACCTTTTATGTTTGTCCTAATTTAATCATTTTCCAGTTTTTAGTTTTAGTTATAATTTTGTTAGATTATTTGGGTGTAGATCCCTCATTTATGTGCATGTTTCATTTAGATCCATATTTTAATTTTTAATTAGTATGTTTAATTTTATGTGTATTTAAATTTAGTCCTTATTTTAACATGTATATATACACTTTTTTAAATTTATAGTTTAGCATGTTATGATTTTGTTTTTATATTTAGGTCACATTTGTACATTATATGTTAATATGCATGGTTTATAATTTATAATTTTAAAATGTATGTATATAATTTTTGTATGTCACGTTGTATGATATTTTTTAATTTTGTTTAATTAATTTTGGCATGACATCCACTTTTTGCATAATTTGCATGATAGCTTCATTTGCATAACTCGACATATTACATAATTGGATTAAGGGTAATATGCTTTTAATTTAAAATTATTTTAAGTGGACTGTCATAACTGATTTGAGGTCTGCTTTTAATGATTTCAAAATAAAAGTGTATCCCATTAGTGACACTTAAAAATTGATTCATCACTTTAAATTTTGGGAATGGAAGAAAAAGAATTGTTCGGGTATTTAAATTTATCGAGAAAAGGTTGTTATAACTTTTAAGATCTGGTATCGATATTTGTAAATAATCGAACATTCTTTATCTTTCTAAAATGACTCGGTAATTTTAATTTAATTTATTTGAGTGCTTTTGAATGTTTTTAAATTTACTTCTTTGTTTTACGGGAACAAAAGCCAAATTAAGTTCGAATTTGTAAAGTTCATTGCAAAGACGTTAATTAATCGACTAGGTACCGATTTAGGGTGTTGTGGGGTGCTAATCCTTCCCCACACGTAACCGACTCCCGAACTCATTTTTTGGTAACGCAGACCTCAATTTGTTGTTTTAATTAAAATTAATTTTTATTTAAAATGACAGCATTTTTGGGTGTCCAATCACATCCTAATCAAAGATTGGTAGCGACTCTTTGATCGTATTTTTCGATCGTAAAGGAAATTCAAAATTTTTCGAAACGAGAGTTCTTTTAAATCGTATTTGTTTTTAAATTAAAAATCAATTGAAAGAGATAAATTAAAAATTGATGTGCTTTTTAAAATCTCACTTTTTTCCCTTTTAAGAAAAATATCGTTTCAACAAGTTGCATTAATGGTATTGTGATGCTAGTATTGGTCATCCATGTGCGTATATAGGTCACATGGAAGTATTTTATAGTGTGCCATTCTATGATCATTGGAGGCGTAATTTTTTCCCATTCTTTTTGTCATTAGTTCAATATAAATGACATTTTCCCCTGGTGACTGGTGAGTAGTATGTCTTCCATGCCAACCTACTAGGTGCTTAGGTAAAGCTTAATTATCCACTTATTAGCAGCTAAAGAACAAATCTATCTAGCATCTTGCCAATGATTGTTAAAAGATGTTCCATGGGACCACTAGTTTTTTCTCTACAATATTTGTGTGGAAAGTGTTGAATAATTTAACTTATATTCTAGTTTCTTAAATACTTTGGAGAAGAAAGGGAATTCTAACATTTTGGGTGTTGCAAACTTCACTTAGTTGCTGTAGTAACAGTTTCTAGTACTCAATAGATGGATAACTCTGTTAGATTCCCCACAATGTTGCGTACCTAATTACCCGTTGCTGTTTTTTGGCTTCTCAAGATCTTTAATGGAACACCGTGCATCTTTTAATGTAATTGTAAAAAGAGCCCATTCTACATGATCTGTAAGGCTTTCATTTCGAACACTGTTTGTTCTTCTGTGAAATGGGAATGCTTTTTTATAGACTAAGGCTTGCTTTCAATCTTTTTGTTTTACATTCATTATAGCCTGCTGCTGAGAATTTATGAAGACTCTTCATTCCTATTCAGCAACACAACATGCACATCATAACTTCTACATGAGGACCATCTACTATTACTTGTGCCAGAACTTTGCGTGGGCTTCAGTAGTTTACATCATGACATTACTCGTGAACTTTTTTTATGTTATCCATGCTGGAATTTTGTTTGGTTGTTTTTGTATGGCATCTGGAACTATATTTGAGTGGAAAGTAAAAGCATTAAGTAGCTGGCCCACTAAATTAAATGAATGTAAATTGTGTACCAAATATCATAAATGTAAACCTTAACTGATATTGTTGTGGCATTGATCCATTTCCCCCTTTTTTTCTCATTTTCTTGAAGGGAATAGTGAGCTGTGTGAATAAAGCACGCATTGGTTTCATGATGTCACCGAAGTACCACCCAGCAATGAAGATTGTGAGCCCTGTAAGAAAGAAGTTAAGACCGTTTTCAGTATACTTTTGCCGTTGTTGGTGTTTACCATGAAGATCTAGTAAGTTTTCTTAGTGCCTTAACAGCATTCATAAAAGTGTCTCTTTCACTCTCTCCTTGCAGCCTAAAAAATTGAAGGTTTCTAGAATTGTGTTTTTTTATTTACCAAAATAATCATTTTTATTTTCTTTTAAAGTTAGTATCCATACTTCAAGTGATACTATCTCATGAAAGAAGTCAAATTCTCTAGCTTCCAATAATGAAGAATAAGAAAACATATTCGGTACCCATTTTTTAAAATGGAAACATGGGAAGTAAAGTAAAATAAAATAAAAGATTACTACATCAATAAGTTGTAACCAAGGTCAGAGATTTGAGAGTTAAAATTTATTGAAAAATATATATTTTTATGTTCATATAGAGCTGAACTCAAACCAATTCATTGAGTTAAAAAACTCATGTTTTCAACTTTTTCAATTTTAGTAAAACAATGGAAACAACCTTTTTATTGTTTTTAATTTTCACTTATTTTTATTTTCCAAAAATCATTTTTAAAAATTTCAACCAAACAACATTTTCTTCAGTGTTTTCCATTTTCTAAAATCTAAACCACACGCGCCCTACTTTCCTCTACTTGGTAAAATTCAATGAATAAAAGTTAGAGTGCAAACTGCAAATACTAAAGGAGAAATATACGGGAATAACTTCTTGAAGAAATTGAGCTTTCATGGTGAAAATTAATAAGCTTTGGAAAGAGAAGAAAGATGGCATTTGAGAATTTTAGAGTTTCTTCCGTGTGAAGATGAAGGGTAAAGGGAAATGAGGGGCTCAAACTCTTACAAAACATTAATTCCGAGTATAGAACCTTGAGATCGCATATAAATCATATATATATATCCAACCGTCGCTATTGCAGTAGATTTTGTGAGGCATTCAGAGTTGCTTGCTCGTATAACATCTGATCGATGCCATTGGTGCTGTTGGTATAACATCTGATCGCCGCTATTGCTCTTTGGATAATATAGTTTCAAATCCGGTTTGTGCTGAAAATTTTGTTTCAAAAAGGGCTGTGGATCGTGTTCGTATCCCTTGGTGTGCTCTCCCGGTAGATCATCTTAAGTTTAATGTGGATGGTGCAGTGAAATTAGATGGTTGTTCGGGAGGCATTGGGGATATTCTTAGAGATGAGAAGGGTTGTTGCTTATACTCTTTCTCGAGTCAAATAGGGGCAGGTTCTCCGGTCTAGGCTGAAATACTCACTATTCATCATGCTGTCCTAGATTCTGATTGGTGTGGCAAGTTCAATTTAATCTCGGAAAGTGACAATTTGATTGTAGTGGGATGGATTTTGAACCCATCGAAATCTCCCCCATGCCTCTTTGATTTGGTTAGGAGCATCTCTGCTGAAGTTGTAATATTGAAGCTGATTCGTTGGCAAAGGGTGCTATTAGCTTGTCTTTTCTTCGTTTTGGTGTCGGTATTGGGGTCTTGGAGGATGTAGTCGGTCCTAGAATTAGATTTATTGTCTCTTATTGGTTTTTGTATAGCTTTCTGCTTTCATGTGATTCTCTAGGGATTTCGTTGCATTTGGGGTATATTGGTAGTCTTTACAACTTGGTGATTTTGTGGAAGTCCTTTTTGCCTCTTTCCTATGTCCGACATTGAACATCGGGTTAATGTTGGGATTTTAATGAGGCCCCACCTATTTTCAAAAAAAAAAATCTGATCGATGCCGTAGTCTTGTAGGTTCATTGAAATCACTTTCTGAAGGGGCTTTGGCTCGGGAGACACAACTATCAGGGAAAGCTCTAAAGACGCTTAATGCATGGATAGACGTCTCAACTGTAAGTGAAACCTTTCTCCTTTGTGCTTCGTTACTACACCTCAATGTCTTCTCTTATTCAATGCAGAATGTAATCTCCTAGACCCAGCCTATACATTTCAACTAAGTATTACATTAATGATTTTTAAAAACATTGTTCGATAATTTAAAATCATATTACAAATAACAATTATAAAAGTATATAATAATTAACGATAAAAACTCAATTCATAAATATAAAACTAAAAAGTAACAAATTAATTTAAAACATGTCGTAAAATCTAGATCACGATAAACAGAATATTAGTAGCAAAAGCAGTAGTTGTTATAAAATCAAATATTTCGAAATAAAGGCCCATGTTTCAATAATAAAGTCAACTTGCAAGATAAAAACATTACAGTCAGAGGACTATACGAAATATGCCGATCCTCCAAGTGTTTGATCATGGGTATCTAACCAACAATATCTGAAAGGGGAAAAATATTTTTAAAAGTGAACTAGGCTTAGTGTGTCTTATTATTTTAGTAAAAACATAATATGAAAAACCATTAATAATAATCCTGTCAAGTTACTTTATTCATCTTGATAATTTGTAGAAGCTTTAGAATCAAACCGTGAAGGGAAAAAGTTGACAAAATTCTGTCTTATTAATGATCTCCCCTATTGTAAGGACAAGTGTATCAAATTTCGTGATTTTATCTTTTTCTGAACTCTTTGTAGAATTGGAGAACAGATCATTGGATCGGTTTGATGCTGCATCACAGAGAAGGGAGTTGTCTACCATGTCTGAATGTGCAAAAATTTTATCTCAGGTATTAATTAATTGTATATATAATTGTTTATTCTCTATAAAATTTAATTCAAGCATTAATTTCCTCTCTTCGAGGGCTGCAATCAACTTGGCTCTAGAGGAAGGTTGGCGTCATATTACTGTTGAGCTGGATTCTACCATGTTGGTAGTCATACCTCCAAGAACCCCACTGCTACTTTCACGGGCAATAACAGCAACTGCCGCCAATCGCATATGTGGATTAAAGATGCCATCGACGTTAATCTTGACCATCCCACCCTGAGAAGGATGCCACCGCATAGGATCGCACGATCGTGGTGTCGAGGCCTGAGCTGATCCTTGGGCACACATGAACTCACGATGGAGAGCTTTCGCATTTGCAACAAGAATGCAAGGGGGTTGAATTCTCCCATAATGAACAATGGAATTTCGTCCATTCCAAATGTTCCAAAGTAACATCAGAAAACCTACAAAATCAAGTAACCCAAGCGTAGCAACTGCTGTTTCCGACCAAACCAAAGGGGAATTACAAGTAGAAGTACGAATCAAACCTGAAATGTTGTCAACCCTTCAGCACCTCCTGGGCCGTAGGACAGTCACGAACTGCATGCATAATTGTCTCCACATCCATCTTGCAAATGGGGCAGAGATGGTCACCTAATCCAGCAGCACTTAATTGAACACCCACCAGCAACGCCCCTTATGCTAGGCACCATGCAAAAATTCTAGCCTTTGGTAGAATTTTGAGTTTGGCTAGGATTTTCCAAACTCTGGACACCACCTCTGGTGAATGCTTAGGCCGTTGGAGCCACCAGTAACCCGAGCGAAAAAAATAGGTCCCAAAATCGTGGTATCCCCAGACAACACTATCTGTGAAGCAAGGTGCTATGGGAGTCTAAAGCACCATCACAACATCCTGGCCTGTAAAGAACTCCAAGACTTTGTCGTTGTCCCAACAAGGCTGGTCTCGGACCATACAATCTCCACAGCGTAGATCCCTGGCCATTTGAGAAATGTAATCGCCAGTAAACTAAACCCTCTGTACACCACCGCACTTGTCACAAAACAGGCGTGTGGAACTATTACACCTCACATCTCCAGAATAAAACATGGAAAAAAGCTTGAATGGTTTTATGGAACCCTTTCCACGCATAGGAACTATTATTACCAATCTTAGCATTTAGAATATCGCCATCAGGATAGTATTTAGGTCAAAAAACTTGGGAAAACAATGAGTCTGGTTCTTTGATTAATCTCCAGATTTGTTTACCAAGCATGGAAACATTGAAAGAATGGAGATCCCTCAAATCTAAGTCTCCCACTTGTTTCGGTTGACAGATCGTATCCCAAGCGACTAATGGCCACCCTCACTCGGAAATCTTGCCAGTCCACCACCAAAACCTTCGCATAATGCCAGTAATTTCATTCAACAAATGTGCCAACAACAAATAACAAGACATGGCATATTGCAGAAGTGTTTGAGCGACTGATTGAAGAAAGACTTCTCGTCCTCCATAGGAAAGTAGTCATTCTGTCCAACCCATCACCCTTGTTGTCACCCTATCCCGTGAATAGCCAAATGTCCTCGTTTTATTTTTCCCAATGCGAAGAGCTAAGCCTAAATAGTGACCAAGAGAGTCCACTTCCAGTATTCCAAAGATAGTTGTCATACGGGTTTTGTGCTCCGGAATAGTTTTTGGACTAAAATAAATGACCGATGTGGTGAGATTAATACGTTGCACTGAAGACTCAGCATACAGACCCAGAAGCTCTTTAACATGATTTGCTTCTCTTGTCGAGTTTTTAACAAAAACTAGACATCATTGGCAAATAACAGATGAGAAGCACATGGCCCATTCTATGAAGAACGCACCGTTTAAGGCGATTTTCCCAATAAATCACCCTTTCCCTCTTTATTTCCTTGCATGACACCCTTCCATCTTTATTTTCCGATCTAACACCCTTTTCATAAAGGTGTAGTTAATGCACCGCGCCTTAGATACGTGTAAAAACAGTACTAATTTTATAAATATTTTTAAAATGATGCCTAATATGTAATTAATTTTTGTGTAAAAACTTCAACTTTATTTATTTATTTTTTGTGTGTGAAAAAAAAATTATACATTAAAATCTTTAAATATTCTTTTGTAAATTATTTTATAAATCATTTTTTTTATTTTTGCATGAAATTACACAATACATATAATCTAGTATAGAAAAGCTTTGAGGGTAAATAATTTAAAATATGAATAATTTTGTAAAAGTTTTATAACTAGTATTTCTTTTACAAAATGATGATGATGATAATAAGAAATCTTTTATAATTTAAAAAATTATAAATTTCATATAATTTTGAAAAATTTATTAACTTTTAAAATTAATTATTTAAAAATATAAAAAAATATTAAAATAATTGATTTTTTAGCTTTACATTTTTTATTGAATTTTATTCACTTTTAATTTTTTTATTGTATTTTTATTGATTTTTAAATATATGAGTTATAATTCAAATTAATCATTTATTATATTATTATTCAAATTAATTAAGAAAAATTATGGTAAAATGTTTCTAAAAGAAAAGTATAAATACATATATGAAAATCTAAAGATTTTCCTTTCTTTTGTGTTACTCTCTAAACTTGTAACAAAATTCAATAAAAAAAGAATATAAAACTAAAAAATATCATCTATATATTTAAAATATTCTTTCTAATATTAATTTTAAAAATATTAAATAAATATTAAATTCTAATTTTATTAAAAATGAATAAACGTTATTAGTTGTTGTTAAAAAATAATAATTAATGAATAATAATTCATTTGATCCTTCAATTATAATTAAAAGTTTATTTTAATATTTTTAAACAATTAATTTTAAAAGTCAATAAATTTTTCAAAAATATATAAAATATATAATTTTTTATATTATAAAATATTTTTATCATCGTCACCATCATTTTGTAAAAGAAATACTAGTTATAAAACTTTTATAAAATTATTCATATTTTAAATTACCTACACTCAAAGTTTCATACACTAGATTATACGTATTATATAATTTCATGCAAAAATTAAAATTTGTCGAGTTATAAAATAATTTGCAAAAGAATATTTAAAGATTTTAATGCAGAAAATTTTTTTTGCACACAAAAAAAAAGTTGACATTTTTACATTAAAATCACCCAAACAAAAATTAATTATATATCTAGCACCCAGTTTTTACACGTACCGTAAGGCGGTGCATGGGCTACGCCTTTTAACACGTGGCGTAAGCCGCGGTGCATAGGCCGCGCCTTTCTGCAAAAGATGTTAGATGGGGAAATAAAGATGGAAAGGTGTTTGACAGGAAAATAAAGAGGGAAAGGGTGATTTATTGGGAAAATCGCCCTCGTTTAATGGTCGGGCTGGGCATGCTGAAATAAAACGGATAATCCCTGTGTGATGAACAGAAATAATAAGGGCGATAAAGGACCGCCCTAACAAAGACCCTTACTAGGAGTAAATTCTTGTGATAAGGAACCAATGATTCGAACAACAAAACAGACGGTAGAGATACATGTCATGATTAGATCAACAAATTTAGCCGTAAATCCTAACTTAAGCATAACATCTTTCAAGAAATCCCACTCAACTCTATCATAGGCTTTTTCGACGTCAAGCTTACGAGTTGTGCCCTTGTTAATTTCATTCTTAGGGGAGTTTAAATAGTGCAACAGTTCATGTGCAATCAAAATGTTATATGATATTTGCCGACCATGTAAGGTCGCTTGATTATCACTAATACAAGTAGCCATCAATGGTTTGAGATGGTTAACCAACACCTTCAAAATTATTTTATACACTATCGAGTATAAGCTAATAGGCCTGATTTGTTTCAGATATTTAGGCTCCTCAACTTTCAGTATGAAAACCAAAATAGTTTTGTTGAACAAATACATATCCAGGTTCCCATGAAGTAAATATAAATACAGTTTCACAATATCTTCACCAATCACCGACTAGTGCTGCCGAAAAAAGCTAGCAGGTAAACCGTCAATTCCCGGATCCTTCCG